TATTTTTTATGAAAATATTTTATTATTATTAAAGTTAACTTATTATTCTTAGATAAAATTACTTGATGCTTTTTATTGAAATTAAATTCTGTATTACCTAAGCGACCACCTACTCTTAGAATTTCATTGTCATCTAAAAAGGGATAAAGAGTTTTTAACTTACTGTTTGATGGTACCCTTCCAGATCGTTTAATACTGTTTATTTCAAAAGAAAATTCTTGTTCCTGAACCTTTTTTTACCAGAAAGGTTTCTGCTCTTTCATATTCTCTTATTGTTAATGGACCTGTTGATTTCTGATTCGTTTTAACAATTTCCATGAACCTAAAAAGAAAACTCAGAACACGTAAAATAGTTATTGCTTAAATTAATTAAATCATTTATGAAATTATTAGTATCGATATTAAGCACAGATGGAAAGTTCTCAAAGTCTCTATTGGTAGAGTTTTTTAGTTCTGAATAGTACTCTTTACGTTTTTCCCTACAATTTATAGTTCGATTTGGATAGTCATTACCTGCAAGAAACATCGGTTTATGAAACCATGCAGAAGAATCAACACCTCGTGAAACTCAGTCTGCAGGTAGGAAATAGCTCTTGTATTGTGGCCACTCTGTTTTGAACAAAAGTCCATGGGTTCCTTTTGAAGCCACGCTAGAACTATCATAGAGTCTGTCAGTAAATTTCTTTCCTCTCCTTCGTGACCGGATATCTCACGGTGTATATATATATAATGAAACACATCATCCAAATTAAAGGAAGATCTTCAGCTGCTTGATTTTTTTATTAAGAATATGCAGCACATCACAGATCTAAATTAAACATATATATACAGGGTGTCCCAAAAGGTCGTTTACAAACTTAACATGCTGGTCTGTCATATCATGATATAGGTAGTTTGAGAGTTTTATTTGTAAAGTTTTCGCTCTCACCTGTAAACAATTATAAATGCAACCTAATTTATTCTTGACCCGAAAAGTTCTCCTCAGAGAAATTTATTTCATTGTCAGTAGGTAATTATTTTCTAAGTTGAATATGAAAGCACAAAAAGTAAGGAGGCTAACGTCTATCTATCATAGAAAACTAGAAATTTTTTTTTCATGAAATTTATGTTTTGAAGCGAGAAATGAAGATGATTGCCAAAAAAATAATGGGAGTTGGGAAGTAATAGAAAAATAGTATCAAGAAATAAATGAATGCATGCATTAAAAATATTGAACATCTAACAAATACGAAAATTAATTCTTCTTGAGGATCTCTTTTTAACTGCCTGTGAAATGATTTTTCAAATTTTCCATTATTGATACGTATCATTCTAAAAAATGCATTATACTTTGATATAAATTTGACAAAATCGCATTATATTAGAAAACTGATCATTTATTAGATTAGACGGTATTATTTTATGAACAGTAACATAAAGAACATAAAAGAGAAACCGCTCTTTTGATATAATATTTAGCATGGTAATGATTTTTTTTTGTAACACATACACATCTCTTGGTACACGTACACATCACGACGCCGTTTGCTTGATAGCTCAATTTTCCGACAGGTTTGTTTGTCTGACAACTCAGCAAGAACTCCGGTCAACAAAAATTATAGAAAATCTTGACTGATTGTCAAGTATAGTTTCTCTCAAGATTGCATAATAATATGACTGAATAACTGAGAAGTTATCATAATCAAGTAGCGAAAAGTGAAATAAAAAAATATTTGAAAAACACAAAATAAATACGTAAATAAATGTATAAATAAAATAGAAAAATTAAAAAATAAATTTAAAAAAGTTTAAAAAAATGAATGGAATAAAATAAAAAATTCAAAAAAAGGAATTTTAAAAAGAAAAAGAATAAAAAATTAAACCATAAAATAGAGAAGAAAAAAAAAACATTTAATGCTGCTATGAATCTTGCAATCTTTGAATCTTTTACTAGAAAACAGAGGGAAATGTTACTATCCCCATAAACAGTCAATAAATTGCCCTTTAATTTTTTTGCCATAAGTAGCCCAGCACTATAGAAAAAGTAAGAAACATTTCACTTTCGTTGTAGAAAATCCATGCATATATTCTTACATTCTAAGCATATTCATACATCCATGCAGNAGCGGTCTCAGTTTTAATTTTCGGACACAAGTTCCTATGTAAATCTTGTTCATCATGATATGACAGACCAGCATGTTAAATTTGTAAACGACCTTTTGGGACACCCTGTATATATATATAAAATATCCATCCAAGACATATCAGTGGGCACAAAAATAGTCCTGCTCGGACGAGCATCAACCTTTACTCTGAGTCTCTCGCTTTGGCCTCCTCTCCCTTCCTCTCTTCTCCTTTCAATTTCTCAGTGAATTTCGTTTTCAATCTTCACACGTCCCTTCAAAGAAAGCACATTCGTAGCCTTAGCGACAATGCTGCTTCACATCCTGCCAAAGATATATAAAAAAACAAAGCAAAATGGGAAAAACAAATACAAATCACACAGGCAGAGGAGCTCTTAAATATGTAGCTCCCAAAATGGATGTTTAATTAAATTACAAAAGATATAATCAATTACTAGAATATTATATATGAAGCTTATAACTAATTACATAAATCCATACACGCAAAATATGAACATACTACATAAACCAACATTTACTTTGTCATTGCTATTCTAGATAAAGCATCGGCATTTCCATGGCAAGAACCTCTACGATATGTGAGAGTCATATTGTATCTCTGCAATGCCAAAGTCCATCTTAAAAGTTTAGCACCATGAGGCACGCTGCTCGTAAGATAACTCAGAGGGTTATGATCCGATACGACTTGTACTTGCTCGCCAAAAATCCATGTGTCATATTTCTTTAACGCCTCCAAAATACAAAATGCCTCTCCTTCTATTGTAGACCACCTGGCTTGACAAGGAGTTAATTTTTTACTGAAAAAGGTGAGCGGCATTTCTTTGCCATCATCTGCTGTCTGAGCTAAGCAAGCTCCTATAGCTGTCGCTGAGGCGTCAGTATATAACTGGAATGGTTTATCTAAATTAAGTGTATGTAAAGAGGGCATTTTTACCAGTTCACGCTTGAGTTGTTGGAAGGATTGTTCTGATTTATCATCCCATGGAATACTCGTGGGAATACTTTTCTTTGTTAAATTTGTTAAAGGCAACCCTTTTTCGGAGAAATTGGGTATATAATCCCTATAATACGATGCCAGTCCTAACAAACTTCGGACCTCATTTTTGGTAGATGGTCTCGCTATACTATGAATCACTTCCACTTTCTCAGGATCTGGAGTATGTTTTCCGGAACCTATAATGTGTCCTAGAAACTTCACATGACGTCTGTCAAAGTCACATTTCTTCAGGTTTATCGTTAGGCCAGCTCCTCTTAATGTAAGCAAAACTTGACTGATATGAAAGATATGATCAGTCCAGGATTCCGAAAATATGGCTACATCGTCTATGTACGAGCGACAGTAATTTTTATGTCGTGCCAATACTTTGTCCATTGACTTCTGGAACGTGCCTCCAGCATTTTTCAAACCAAAAGGCATTACTTTCCATTGGAAATGCCCCGAATGGGTTAAAAGCGGTGTAAGTCTTATCGTCATTTCTCATCGGGATCTGCCAATAACCTTTCGTAAGGTCAAGTACTGTTATGAAATTGGCTTTTCCAATTTCAAACAAGAGTTCTTTAGCTATTTTCATGGGATACACGTCGGGGATATTGAAGCTATTCAAAAGTCTGTAGTCGACACATAGCCTGACGTTACCGTCTTTTTTCGCTACACACACTACGGGATGAGCCCATTCGCTCTCGCTTGGTTCAATAAGATTCTAGTCCAAGAGTTCCTTTACTTGTCGATCAACCTCATCTTGCAATCGAATAGGAACTCGATAAGGTCTAAATTTCTTGGGAGAATAGTCTGCTGTGACTCGAATAGCGTGACCGTCCACTCTAGCATGCCCAGGTTTGGTATTAAATACATCCATAAATCTTCTTAAAACTTTTGACAAGTCTCTGCTTTGTTCAACCGTCAAATCTTCTTGTTCCTTATCTAGTTTATCAATATCTCCAATTGATACATTAAATTTATCAGCAGGAGCATAATGCAAGTCCCCAAAGTCATCGTCTTGTTCGAATACAAGACCAACATAATTTACTCGGGTAACGTACGGTCGCAGTTTGTTGATATGTATCTCGCGAATACTTCCATCTTCCATTTCTACTTTGGCTGAATGGGGTCTAGTCATTTGAATTAGTGTGTCCAAGTACTAAGAAGTTTATGTGAGGAAGTCGGTATCAACACGAGGACTTTATCCCCAACCTTGAATGATTTTTCTTTGGAGCGAAGATTGTATTGAGAAACATAAGTATCTTGGGATACCTTCGAGTTTTCAGATGCTAGTTCATGGGCGTCTTTGAGTTTATTTATTATATCTTGCAAACAAGTCTCTACAGATTTCGATGCATTAGTTGGAATTGCTTCTCTACCTGTCCACAAATCTTTCAACAGAGAAAAAGGTCCAGGAGGTAATCTTCCATAAACTAATTGAAATGGGGAAATACCGGTAGTGCTATGGGGAACTTCACGGTAGGCAAATAATAAATATGGCAGATGTAAGTCCCATTCTCTACCATATTGTTGTATATTTTTGTTCAGCATATTCTTGAGGGTCCTGTTCCATCTTTCAACAGCACCCATGCTTTCCGGATGACCGGGCGTTGAAAATCGCGGCGAAACCCCGATGACATCTAAAAACCCCTTTGTTAACTTCGATGTAAAGTTGGTTCCTTTATCGGAACATATCACCCTCGGGAACCCGGTTTGTACAAAAATTTTCATTAGGGCATTGCACGTTGTTTTCGCGCTTATTTCCTTCATTGGGATAGCTTCAGCCCACCTTGTGCACAAATCAATTGCACAAATGACGTATTTGTGTCCTCTACCTGATGGTGGTTCCAGAGGACCAATACAGTCCACACTCCAAATTTCAAATGGTGTTTCCCGTCTTACGATCGCTGAATTGGGATTCTATCTCGATAGGTGATCGGTCTTCGTAACTGACATGTCTCACAGTTCTCACAAAACGCCTTGACATCATGTGTTATGGTAGGGCAATAAAATGAATACCTGATGCGTTGTTTCGTTTTACGCTCACCTAGGTGACCAGCAAGTGGTATTTCGAGTGTCATTTTCAACACTTCTTGTCTTTTGCTCAATGGAAGTACAACCTGATCTACCTTTTTACTAAACATTGTTTCGGAATGCACCAATATTCCATTTTGAATTTTATAAGACTTTTCATTGTCTTTGGCCCAAATCCACACATTCCTCAAATCTGCATCTTCCTTTTGTAGCCTTATGAGTTCAGCTCGCTTTTCGTTTCCACGTTCCGTCCCGTTTTTGGTGACACCATTTATCACAGAAATATTACTCATCGAGTTTTCCAAGGACTGCACCTCGGGCTCGTTTGGTCTCTCGGAACTTTGTTTTGAAATAACCTCGGCAATTGCCATTTTATGAATCTGTACATTGTTTTTTAGTGCCTCGTAAGCTTTTATGCTGAGCAACAAATCGTTGACAAGCTTTTTCGATACTGCACATGAGATAGTAACATTCCCATGCGACTCATCATCCAATTTCATTGAAAAATTCCTTAGAGGTGTCATTTCACTTTCCCCAAAAGCAGATGAAATTTCAATCACTCCTTCTCCGTCGGAATGTATATCTCTAACAAGTCCTTCTCGCACCACTGAAATCTGAGCACCTGAATCTATAATCACCGTAAGGGTCTGATCACCACACTTAATGCTGACCATTTGAAGCTTATCTATATCGAAACAGTCCTTTGCTTGTTTTGACACTGGTGCTGTAATTCTGACAGCCAGAACTGAAGAATTGACTTCATTTTCAGTTGTAGATGATAAAACCAAATTGCTTTGAGCGATTGGACCATAATGTCTTTTATTATCATTCTTTGGGCATGTTTTGGAGTAATGTCCTTCTACTCCACACGAATAACAAGTTGGCTTGAATGATCGCCTTGGACCTTCGTACCTTGAAGTTTTTGGAAATTGTTGTTTCTGATGATTACTTGAATTCTGAGGAAATCTATTCCTAAATGGTCGCTCTATAGGTGGTGTACGAGGACGGCTCTTGTCAGGTGATTTCTCTTTCGAAGCTCGTTTATGCGTATTTCGAATACTTTCGTATTCATCGAGCCTATCTGCTAACTTGGCTGGTGATATCAACTTTGACCATTCATCAAGGAAATGTTCGCGCACTTCATGCGGCACTCTTCTTTTGAGTTGATCTGCGATCATCAAATTCTTTAGAGCATCGAAGTCGGACACGCTAAGTCCATCGATCCATTCCTGAAAATAATTGGTTAATTCAAATGTGAAATTCCTCCAAGATTTATCAGGACTACGCTGATGTAGAACAAATTTTTTCCGGAAACTTTCTGCGTTCATCTTGAACCGCTTTAATAAAACTGCTTTAATGTGATTATAGTCTTCGAAACTTTCCTCGGATTCCCTGGCAATCATTTGCACTATTTCGGACGGCAGTAAAGTCATAAAAAAACAGACACCCAATCTTATTGTCTCCACTTTTGTTCGTTTCGCTTGTCTTTCAAATAGCGATAGGTACAAGACTATGCCATCTTTATTTAATTTAAATTTTGGCATCAAACGAATTAATTCATGACTGAATTGGCTACTATTTTCAACTGAGTTTGATACTGTAGCTCCATTTAACTGAGCCTCAAGTTTAAGTTTTCTTAACTCGAATTACATTCGTTTTTCTTCTGCTTCTCTTTTCCTTTCTTCGACTTCTAATTCTCTTTTCTTTTCTTCAGCTTCTAATTCTCTTTTCTTTTCCTCCTCCATTCTAGTATTGATAATCGTTTCCAATAAATTTTTCACAAAGCTTTCTTCATATGCTTTTCTTGCCAGTATCATAGATTTTAAATCTACTATTTTCATATCGAGGTCTATGCTTTCTCCCAACCCTTCTGCCAAACATCGTAAATCTTCCTTTCTGCCCTTGCCAAGGAAAGCCATGGTACTTACTTATTTATTTTAAACTTAAGCTCAAAATTTATTAAAATGTTTTTTTTTCTTTTAAAACTTAAAATCGGAATTTGAAATTTTAGGCAGTAAAATTGTCAAATTACTACAATTTTAAATTAAAATAACATTCAGAGTATTACACTATGGGAAAAAAAATCAACTATTAAAACGAAACTTAAATGTTAATTACTCTTCCAACCTCAACAATGTTTCTAAAAAATACTTTAGCACTGCTGTTTCATATTACATAAAATATAATAATCAAATGTACTTGTCATACCAGGTGACGCCATTATTATGACGTCGAGTGGTGGAAGAAGAGAGAGTGCGTAGAAGGGGTTGCGCTCTTGGAGAGAGCGGATGTTATATTTTGTTTAGAACTGCCCTTTCTGAATTTTGTTAATTTTTGTTAATTTTGTTTTTATGAATAAATTCCTGTTAATTGTTATAAAAACTCACCAGTGTGATTTATTAAGAATGGAAAGATTACTCTGCAAGAGTTGAGAACATCACACGCTCTCTTTCGATAGAACCGGAGCTTGCTTAGAGGAGATGAGCGAACAATGAGGTAGGCCTATGCTTTGTTTGAAATCTCAAGTTTGATTGTTAGTGCATGAACTGTGATTTAATGAGAAATATATAATAAACTTTGTTGAGTTATATTTGAAGAACTGTTTAGTGGAAGTAACTAAATATGTTTAGTATTAAAGGAATTAAAAAAGAAGATTTAGTTTTAGTAGCAAAGGAGTTAGGGTGCACGGTGCGATCTGAGCACAGAATAGTAGATTTAAAAGAAGTTATTGAGAAAATTACGCAATATGCATCTGATTTTAATTTTGTAAAAGAATTTATTATCACTACTGTAAATGAACGTCTTGAAAAAGAAAGGCTAGAAACTTTCAAGTCAGAGAACGAAGAAAGGGAAAGAAAGGAACAACAGCGAATACAAGAAAAAGAAGCCGCGCTAGAACTTGAAAAAGAACAGCGTTGGAAAGGGAGAAAACAAAACTAGAATTAACAAAAACGCAACTAGAAATAGCAAAGATCCAGTCTGAGTCTCGGGTGTCGAATACTGGTGTGGGAGAGCAAAATATAAGTAGTTACCCTTTAGAAACTTTAATTAAGAGCATAAAAACACTTACATTACCGATACCTACTGAACCCGAAACGTGGAATCTATATTTTGCT